CCTCAGCCCTCTTTGACTTTGTCATACTTACCAGGCAAAATCCCAACCTTGGTTATATCCAACTCTCTGCCTATTAAAAAAATTTGCACTTGCAGAACTAAGTAAGGCTGAAAAAAACAAATAACCGAGTTATATGTCTCACTTTAAATTTATGATCACTAACCTGAAGTAGGCCTTTATTGCTGCACAGCAATCCCACTATATTCCGTGATTCATTCAATTTTCCATTTCTTCTAACTATCTCTCTCATATCTATTTCTCTTGTTTCAAACCTACACCTCCTCCCCACTTTCAACTGATGACTTCATGTCCTATTCACTGAGAAAACAGAAGCAATCTATAGAAATTGTCCACATGTTCTCCCCATCCCTTTTAGAAGCCCCTTCCCTCCACATGAATTTGATCATGTTCCTCCTACATTTGGCCAATCTCTCCTTCTAGTACCCAATATACTAGCCCCACACCCAATCAGGACATCACTCCAGCAATCTTCCCCCTTTCTGCTATGAAATCAAGTTATTCCTCTCTATTGGATCATCTCCACTCATACATATGCTGTAATCTTTCTCACTTTATAACAAAACAAAAATCTTTCCTGACCCCACATTCCTACCCAATTATCCTCATTCTTTGAGTGCCAGACTCACTAACTCCAAATCCTCCCTTTCTATTCTCTTGATTCTACTGCAACAAGGTTTTCTTTCTTTCTTTTCTTTTTTTTTTATTATTGATTTGAGAGAGAGAAAGAAGAAAGGAGGTAAGGAGCCCTGACCGGTTTGGCTCAGTGGATAGAGCGTCGGCCTGTGGACTCAAGGGTCCCGGGTTCAATTCCAGTCAAGGGCATGTACCTTGGTTGCAGGCACATCCCCAGTGGGGAGTGTGCAGGAGGCAGCTGAACGATGTTTCTCTCCCATCGATGTTTCTAACTCTCTATCCATCTCCCTTCCTCTCTGTAAAAAATCAATAAAATATATTTAAAAAAAAAAAGAAAAGAAAGGAGGTAAGGAGAGAGGGAGAGAGAAAGAGACATCAATTTTGTTGTTTCACTTATTTATGCATCCATTAGTTACTTCCTGGATGTGCCCTAACCGGAGATCAAACCTACAACCTTGGAGTATCAGAATGGCACTCTAACCAACTGAGCAACCGGACCAGGGCAAGGTTTTCATTCTCACCATTCCATTAAAAAGCTCAAAATCATCCATTTCCTCCACATCACTAAAGCTAATGGTGAATTCTCAGTCCTGTATTTGACCCACCAGCAATATTTAACATAGTTTATTATTTCCTCCTCAAAATGCTTACTTCATTTCGCTTCTAGACATCATTCTTATATCTTGGTTTTGTATTTTCCTTGCCAGCCCTTCTTGATCTCTAAATATTTTTAATTGTTCCAAGGCTTAGCCCTTGATTCTTTTTTCTTAATTGCATTCATTCCTTCCCTAGGTGATGCCATCCAAGTTCATAGCATTAAATACCATCTCTATATTGGCAACTCCCACATTTAGATTTCCAGTCAAGACCTCAGTCCTGAATTCCGGAAGGCATCAGCTCAAGATGTAGATTTCTATCTCTAGTCCACATTTCTTCTCTGAGCTTTAGACCCATTTACTCAGCTGGCTACTTCTCTCATTGAATATCTCAAAGACATCCTACACTAAATCATGTCCAAAAGCAAACTCAATCTCCATCCCCCTTCTACCTCTGAAATATGCTCTTCTCCAAGCTTTTTAAACATCTGTGAATGGCACCATTACTTCCCCATCTAGAATCACAGATGTTATCCTAGACACCTCCCTTTTCTTTGTCCTTTTTAAACAATCCATCCTGTTGATTTCACCTTTTAAAAAAAATATATATTTTTATTGATTTCAGAGAGGAAGGGAGAGGGAGAGAGAGATAGAAACATCAATGATGAGAGAGAATCAACGATCAGCTGCCTTCTGCACGCCTCTTACTGGAGATTGAGTCTACAACCCAGGCATGTGCCCTTGACCAGAATCGAACCCAGGACTCTTCAGTCCCCAGGCCAACGCTCTATCCACGGAGCCAAACCAGCTAGGGCTGATTTCACTTTTAAAAGATTTCCTGAATGTATCCTGTTTTCTACATACCCGTGTCTACTCTAGTCTGAGCTTCCATTACATGAACCAGACTAAGACAGATACCTTCTAATAGTCTCTCTGCATCCACTCCTACTCCTTTTCTTCCATGCATCCTCTCAAAAACAAGAGTCTGGCCCTAGCCGGTTTGTCTCAGTGGATAAAGCGTCAGCCCACAGACTGAAGGGTCCAGATTCAAGTCTGGTCAAAAGCCTGTACCTTGGTTGCAGGCTTGATCCCTGGCCCTGGTCAGGACTCATGAGGGAGGCAACCAATCAATGTGTCCCTCTGTCCCTCCCCCACTGTTCCACTCTCTCTAAAAATCAATGGAAAAAATATCCTCTGATGAGGATTAACAATAACAACAACAAAAATAAGAGTCTGATCATATCTCCTCTCTGTTTCAAATCTTTAGTACTTTCCTACCATATTAAGTCAAGATTCCTTAATAAAGCTCAAAAGGCGTTGGATAGGACGCCTACCTTCACAGATTCATCTCATGTCAATCTCTGCATCACTATCCACATTTTAGCATCACTAGCTTTCCTTCAGTTCTTTGAGCATACCACAGTCCCTATTCCCACGGGGCCTTTACACATGGTGTTCCCTCTTCCCTGAACGCCAACACCACCACCCCACTGCCACCACCTATCTCTTTATACTTAATTACTACTCAGTCTTCAGATCTCATCTCAAAAAACACTTCCTCATGCCCTGGCCAGGTAGCTCAGCTGGTTAGAGCATCACCCTGATAGACCAAGGTTGAAGTTTCAATCCCCGGTCAGGGCACATATAATTATCAACCAATGAATTCATAAATAAGTGTAACAACAAATCAACGTTTCTCTCTCTCAATTTAAATAAATAAAAAGAAGTACTTCTTCAGAGAAGCCTTCCCTGCCTCTTCAAACTAGATCAACTCCCCTTCATTTAGGCTTATCATTGCGCATATTTCATACTTCTGAGTGTAATTCTAAATGTACATTTGTTTTATGTGATTAATTTGTGCTCGGTGTCAATCTGAAAAGACCTTAAAGTCAATGAAGGAAAAGACTGTGCTTCGTTAACATGATTGTATCTCTAGCTCTCAGTGGAATAGCCATGTAAACATTTTATTCAATGAAAAAAAATCAACATAGATGTGACAGAGGAAGTCACAGAATTAGACAGTGCTGCACAGGAGTGGGATTTAGAAAGATAAAAGGGACCACAATAGCCCTAACCGGTTTGGCTCAGTGGATAGAGCATCGGCCTGCGGACTCAGGGTCCCAGGGTTGCTTCCAGTCAAGGGCATGTACCTGGGTTGCGAGCACATCCCCAGTGGAGGGTGTGCAGGAGGCAGCTGATCAATGTTTATCTCTCATCGATGTTTCTAACTCTCTATCCCTATCCCTTCCTCTCTGTAAAAAAATCACTAAAGTATATTAAAAAAAAATGGGGGACCACAATAGCCCTGGACAGGTGGCTCAGTTTGTTGAGGGGTCCTCCCTACACCAAAAGGTGGCAGGTTAGATTTCCGGTCAGGGCACATACCTAGGTTGTGGGTTCGATGCCCCACCCCACCCCCCTTCCCCCGCAACTCTCTTCTTCCCTCCCTTCCTCTCTCTTTAAAAATCAATGAAAACATATCCTTGGGTAAAAATTTAAAACAAGGAGGTGGGGGTGGGACCAGAATAACCCTGGGAAAATATCAACATAGGGACTAAGCAGAGGAAATAAATTAGAGGGGGGAAAACCATCAGAAAGTTAAAAACAACAAAAAAGGAAACAGCATCACGATAGCCAAGGGAGGATAAAATACAAAAAAGATAGAAGGGGCCACTGAATTTGACAAGTAGGCACCTACCAATCCGACAGAATAATCAGTGACGTGAGATGCTGTGAGGAATTGAACAGAGGTGAAATACAGAGGAAAGCCCGCGTCTTTCCAACTCCCCTGGAAGTAAGATTTTACACTCATCAACTATTTTTTTTTATATCCTTCAACTACCAAGACAGTCCGTATAGAACAGTGGTTCTAAACCTTCCTAATGCCACGACCCTTTAATACAGCTCCTCATGTTGTGGTGACCCCCAACCATAAAATTATTTTCGTTGCTACTTCATAACTGTAATTTTGCTACTGTTATGAATCGTAATGTAAATATCTGATATGCAGGATGTATTTTCACTGTTACAAATTGAACATAATTAAAGCATAGTGATTAATCACAAAAACAATATGTAATTATATATGTGTTTTCCAATGGTCTTAGGCGACCCCTGTGAAAGGGGCGCTCGACCCCCAAAGGGGGCGCGACCCACAGGTTGAGAACCGCTGGTATAGAATGATAAATCCAAGGAAAATATGTGTGCCATTTTATATTTCAACCTTATTTCTCTATATTGGTACGAGTCATGTTAGGCTGACTGCTTATCTAACATATAAGACTAAATGTTCTAATATTTACACCTGAAACGGTTTTTTTTGCTTCTCAAAGTACTTTACCTCCCCGAATCGTCAAAACAGACATCCGTGTGTCCCTCTGTATGTCCGTATCTCATCGGCTTCTGTGTGGCAGGCATCTCTTCCTTCGCCTCTCTGGAAATGTTTTATAACATCTAGTATTATTTTAAAGACGAAAAAGCCGGGGGCTGGTGGACAAGGGGGTGAGCCTCCCCACGGGCATGCTCCCGGCAGCCCGTCTTCCCCCACCCGAGTGGCACAAGCAGAAAAAACAAATGGAGGGTCTGTCAGACAGTAATCCTGGAAGAGGACACTTCTCTCTGGCGCGAGTAGCGAGAGAAGGACTCACCAAGCCGCCTGAGCCTCCACGACAGGAGAGAGGACAGGCAACCCCCGGCACG